CCTTGCAAATAAGAGACAGTTAGCTGTCCAGTGTATGACAGTGATAGAAGCCCAGTCATGATGCTCTAATTCAGAATGACTTGGATCATTTTGTGGGTTACTCTACAATTCTCTACATCTTCCACATCAAAGCTGTAAAATTCTAAGTCACCAGAGTCTCCCCTCAGATCCACTGTAAAATACCAAAAAGAGGTTTCTTTCACATTGGAGCACTAAATCTTCATTTGCTCCTTCACTTGCTTTCAACAGGAAGTTATCATTAAAATCTTTAAAATATGAAAATGTTTAATAAAGACGTGACCTACTCTTAATCAATTGATTGTGATATAATTATTTCACATAACTGTCAATAAAAATATCCATGATAAATTCAAAATGCATAAAATATAGAAAGATGATATAAATTACAAGTAACTAATAAGGCTAAAACACTGATTCGCTGAAACACGTGGAGATAGATATGAAATGTGTTCCAAAATGGGATACCTATGAGTATACTTGTGTCTTGGGGCCTTCCATACATATTATATAGAGGAGAAGATAGAAGGTGGTTGACTGGGGCCTGGTAGGTGTCTCAGTGGGAAAATGTTTGCTGTGCAAGCATATGGACCTGTGTTTGGCCTCCTAGCATTCCAATAGGCTGGTACATGTCTGTAGGGGAAGGTTCAGATACAGGAGGATCCCCAGGACTTGCAGTCTAGGAACTTTGCTTAAATGGTGAGCTCCAGGATTACTGAGGGGCTCTCTGTCAAAATCTAAGGTAGAAGGCAAATAAAGGAAGACAGCCAACATAGACTTCTGGCTCGCATATACCCAGTGCTGAGAACACACACATTATACACCACTTATACCATATTCTAGAGAAAGTGATTGACTGTAAGTCTAAGGATTCCTCTAATAATTCTGAAAGCAAATAAATTATAAGTATAATGCTTATCTTAAGATGTCTAAGAGAAAATGATTGGGACATAGTGTGTTTCTGAGCAATATATAAGTAGTACACACAGTGATCCATGTGAAACTTGGTACTTGTATTGTTCACTTGGGCTCTTATGTAGAGTGTTTATAGCAAAGCACACTGGTTTTCTACATTAATTTTTCTGTATTGTCTATCATTGGAAATATATTGTGATATTACTTAAAGTTATGTTTATGTATAATATTAACTCATATTAGAGGATGGTACATAAATCTGAGTTACGATGTCATTGGTATATTATATAGGTAATATTCAGGTAGCTGTGGTATTCACTGGTAAATTCTCTGACCTTTAATTTTGAACTATTTCTCCATTGGGGAAGTGAAAGCTACTGAGTAAATTAGAATAAAAGGAATCTTAATACTTCCTCTTAACATTCACAAGTTGTAAACATATTAAAGACTAAGAGCAAAATTATTTATTGTTTTTTCTTCTCCAATAACATATGTTTTTTGATCTTGACTTCAGTACATGTTGACAGGAACATTATTTTAATTATTGATGCACAATCCTGATGAGTTATATGTCTATTCTAGACATTCTTCATCTGTATTCAATCAACCATATGACAGAAACTAGGGCAGAGTAACCAAAGTGGCATTTGGAAATTTATGGTTATGTCTCATTTGCATATGACAGTAGTTAAAGAAAAAGAGTGATGGGTGGGTGAAGTTATACAAGATTAAGTACTTCAGTCAGTGTGAACTGTTTGCCAATCAAAATGGATAGTCAATGTAGTTGTTTACATTTAACATCCACAAAATGTGCATATGTTCAGGCCTAAGAAAAGGGGCTACTTTTTGGTAGTTCTTCTCCATTGACATTATGGGTTAATTTGTCCTGCCAACAATAGGTCAAACTGATCAGAAGATGTCTTTTAAGATAACTGTTCTCATGTTTGCTAATCTTATACACATTAGTAGTTTCATAAAATTAATCTTCCATGTAAGAAGGTTAGATAAAGAATTTAAGGCCTTGTTTAGAAGAACTATGTCCAGTCTTTCTTTTGTGTTCTCAGGACGTTGTTACCTCTTGCTTCCTCCTCCTTCTAAAGTAAAGTCAGTCAATCTTAGGAGGATTAAATTCAAACCACCTTTACCAGAGCTGCATGGAGATCGACCTGGGAGTGAGCACAGTACGAGTATTAGAGCATCCAGGCACTGTGCTAACACATGATATGGCCCTGTGATTCAGTTTGAATGAATTGCTTTAGTTACAGCAGTTGTACTTAGATCTTTAAATGATTTGTTGCATTGAGCTATCCACACTAAGATATAAGTGGACGGATTTATCTGTTGTGTAGAATGGGCTTCAAAGTAATTGGCAAGTAGAAGATGTGAAGGCACAGAGGAAAGAGATTAGGCATGAATTAATTGTTGGTCAAGTTGGACAGTGTGTATGTGTATTCATACTATATTTTAATTTACAATAATGTTCTGCTTTCCATTCATTTGCCTTGCATTCTTGTTACAGAGAACATGAGATCCTTTTCAGCTTACACATGAAGAGCTAGCTTTTGTAAATGACTCAATTTAATGTAGGTCTATACTGAAATACCAATAGAGACACACAGTACAGATTTTAACCTTTACAGTAAGATTTCACCCAGATGATAACACATATTGACTGTTCCCTTAACTTTAAAGTTCTTTTCATCAAATCGTACTAGGGAGGTTTAGATTTCTTTAAAGTTTCTCAGTGTTAAAAATATCAAAGTAAGGAGATTACCCAAAATGAAAGAATTCAATCTTGCTTTATCATGTGTAAAATTATGGGTCACAAAACATTTAAGTTCTGTAGCAGGAATAATAAAATCCCAGAGACAGATATTGGGGTTAAAGCTGAAGATCAGAGAAGCAAAACAGCCAGCCACTAGAGAATTCTCACTTCTATCAATGCTCAGACCAAAGGGGCAATCCTCAAACTGCTCCTGACTTCACTGCTCCTCAGATTAACTCAGACATCCCTGCTCTCCTCAACGTGGCTGGAGACTAATTGCCCTGAGACATTGGTCTCCTGTCTTTTACATACCTCTCTAGGGCTGGGATTAAAGGTGTGAGCTGTAATTTACTGATTCACTCTTGTGTAAGCCTGGGTGGCCTTGAACTCAGAGATATCCATCTGCCTCTTTCTTGTGAGTCCTAAGATTTAAAGGTGTGTGCTGCCACCACCACCCAGCTTCTATAGCTAACTAGAGTGTCTGGCTTTGCATTCTGATCTCCTTTGGCTTTATTAGATCATAAACAATATTTTACTGCAATGTTCATCAATTCTAAACATGGCTGGTATGTGTGTTCTCTCTCTGCCTCTCTCTTTCCCTCCTTCCCTCCCTCCCTCCCTCTTTCCCTCCTTCCCTTCTTCCCTGCCTTCCTCCCTCCCTCCCTCTCTATTAGATGTGTGTATGATTTTACTAATTTATATATCTAATGATTTACTATCCCATGTATTAAAATTATGCAAAAGCATATAAATAAGGGGATATTATAGTTTCTTTTCATTAAGCAATCCAATGAAATTCTTCTTTTTGAGAATATACATTACAAAGAAGGTATTTAGTTTGTTGATCAATGAGAAGTTAAAAGAAACTAATAATATCTGTGTCAAAGTAGACATCTGATATCTATCCAAGTAAAGAAGAGGAAGAGAATTTTTTTTTGCAAAATTTCTGAAGCCGCATTGTTGAAGGCATGTGATTCAACCTCCCATAGGCCAAGCAGATACAATGCAATAGACCTGAGTTAAGCACAGGATGGTTTCGGTATATTTGTCTGCAAAACATGATGCCCATTTGTCCTGTTTGTCCCTTAAGTTTTTTTTTTTGAAATTTTAAAATGTAATACTAAATTAAGTGTATAATAGTATAATACAAAAATGCTGAGGTGGTGAATGTCTTTTACCTCCTATATCTAGAAGGCAGCTTGAGAGAGCATCTCATTCATTCTGTCTGCTCCCAACTGTGAATGTTTTATGCTTAGAGCTTAGTGACATGAATGTCCCAGGCTGCACTAAACCTCTACTGATCACCAGTAAATACATTTCTAGCCCAAAAGTACTTGAACAAGTCTTTTATCACCTCTGATTTGAGAGCTGGACTGGGGGGTACTTCATATCTTGTTGTAATGTATTCCATATGAACAGATTAAGACAGCTTCCCACTGATGAATCAAAACTCTCTGAGATAAATCAACTTAAGGAATGAAAGTTTCCTTTGGCTCATGGTTTCCAAAGTTTCAGGCAATGGTTGTTTGGCTTTGTTGCATTGGACCGGTGATAAAATCTGTGATGGAGCAAAGCTGGTCACCTCATCAAATCTAGACAACAGAGAGAAAGACTGGAAGGGACAGAGTCCTAAGGCCCCTTCACGGGCACCACTGAGTATGCTTTACCACCTCCGCTAGGCCGCACATCTCATAGGTGGTACTGTAGACTAGCAACTGAGCCTCCAATGTGGGAGCCTTTTAGGGGATGTGTAAGATATAGTCCAGACCATAAAGCTTTTAGAATAGATGGTTACTTCTCAGTAGCATTTTATTTTCCCTGCTCATTCCTTATTAATCAAGATTGAACAAACCCTAGCCAATTTAAGCAGAAATATTTACCCACAGATAATATGCACAAGAACTTTTCCAAAGTACACTTCAAATGGGTTGCTTTGATTGCTATTTATTATTGCTTTAATCATTTTTAATTTTTCCAAGATGTTCTTTTTGTAGAATATTTAATTAGCATTGTTGTTTTGAAGAGGGATATAATTCATTTTTCAGGATCTGAGGACTGTAAAGCCTTGTACATTAGAATTACAAATGCATACTTGTGAAAATTAGGTTAAGCTCCTTTGGAAGAAATTTGACTCTTTGGTAAATTTAATGCCAAGCCTCTTCATATATTTTGTTGTCTTAGAATCTATCTTACTCAGCTGCTTCTTCAAGATATCTTGTCCCCTCCCATGACCCACAAACTTGTGAAACATTTCTTGAGACTCCCCTGGATAGTTTTGAACCAATTTGTTTCCTTTGTTTAGGAGTCTGATGGCCAAGGCTGCCCCTTCTGTCGCTGTGAGATAAAAGGAACTGAGCCCATCATCGTGGATCCCTTTGATCCCAGAGACGAAGGGTCCAGGTGCTGCAGCATCATCGACCCTTTCAGTATCCCCATGCTTGACTTGGATGATGATGACGATCGAGAGGAGTCCTTGATGATGAACAGGCTGGCAAGTGTTCGAAAGGTAAACCAGAATACAAGAATGTATTAGTCTCAGGTGGTGTGTATGTTCGTGTATTTGGCTACGAAAGTAATCTGTGTGTTTGGCTAAGAAAGCATTCTTGATTCAGAACTAAGGAAAAAATGCAAGCAGTATTCCCATTTAAGAAAAAAAAAAAGAAGAAGAAGTGTAGTACTCATTCTTCATCAAGGAAATTTCTCTTTGCAACAGTTAGAGACCACTACAACCAAGCTAATGCAGAGTTGTGCAACCCAGCCTCAGTGGATACAGCCACAAAACACTCCTGCATCTAAGACTTAAGGAACAATGTGGGAAGGGGGGGTGCAAAAAGATTGTAAGAGCCAGAGGACTGTGGATTTTTTTGTGTCTCTTAGTAATCTCGGAAGTTACACCAGGAAGTCTCTCCAACAAGACTGCCTAAATATGAGCTGAACAAGGAAAACAATAAACATGCCCAAACTGGACAGGGGAAAGACCATGAGGCCTCAACCCTACACAAAGAACTATAGGCAACTAAGGAGTGCTCAGAGTGGAAGAAATAGTCTTTCCTAGGAAGAGCACACCCATTGGTTATCTGATACCAAGTGGTCAGCCCTGAAAGCATGCATACAAGTAACATTATGCAAACCAAGTACTTTTTATTTAGAAATATATGTATATACATACACATATCTTCATCTTAACAACAATTAGTTTTAAAAAAAAAAAAAAAAAAGGCCATGATTGTGAAAGAGAGCAGAAAGGGGTATTACAGAAATACTTGTAGGGAGAAAGGGGGTTGATTATATTATCCCCAAAATAAATAATTTTAAAAACTACAAGAAATCTTGACCAACTAATAAAACAGAAGATTAAGTGGAATTATCTATCAAGGTAGCCATCTGGTTTTAAAACTCATGAGAGGCAGATGAGATCATTTATATAGAATTAAACATTCAAGAATGAGATTAACAAATGTGAAGAAAATTTGAAGAACGAAGTTGTTTTATTTGAAAATGGTCAGATGCACTTGATTAACATGTTTGTGGAGTCTAGAAGTGTTCAGTAGATCTATTTTCTTAACAGAAATGACATACTGGTGTTCGAATTATAAGAAGTCACATAAAATTTATCTTTGAATGTACTGTAGCTAGAGGTTTGCTTGTTAATTCAGAAAACTGACCTTAGGAACTGAGAGGGGATGCTGCTGCCCATTGGTGTTTACTTCACAGAAGAGTCAGCATGCCGGTTGAATAATTTAGAAATCAGAAATGGTCGATAGATCCCTAGATATCAGAGCGCTCTGTGCATAGAAATGTGCATGGAATTCACATTACTTTGAGAGGGTCTATGCTGTGGAAGCAAGTCACAAGTGGGACTCATTGCTGTGGGAGCATCTGGAGCTGAGGGAACTGTCTGCCTCCTGGCTCGAGCAGACATGATTAATCAGCCACAGTACTCATCCTCTGGAGTCCAGCCCTAAGGAGAACCATTTGCCACTGAGGTGGAGTGGCGACCTTGATAGCCACTTCACATTGTTTACACTGCACACCCATTGCTACAGGAAAAACATAATTGGTGCAGGGACCAGAGGAGGCCATTTTGAGGGCTATTTCAAGGCTGCATCAAATTTTGCTGAAAGAAAACTCTGCATTATCTCTGTCCCAGAGTTGCATGCTGACTTCAGACATCCCCCTATCATTTTTTACATGAAAGATTTTTGCATGTGAAGGCATGTTGATATCACCAGTTTTACTACTCTCAGATTCAGTTTGGGCAGGAATGATGATGTTGGCTCTTCACACTGTTAGATTTATGTAAGTTTCATAAGCTAACTCAGAGTACTGTATCTTTCAGAGATAGCAGCTGTTGAGATTTTTTTTTTTAATTACATGATGTCTTTGACCCAAGAGAAAGTTATTCCTTAGTAACTCTGAATGATGAATAAGGAAGCAAGAAGTCTTAAAGACAATTAGGACTTGAGTCCTCAGCCAAGTAAAAGTCTGCCTTTAAGAAGAAGGGGTGCCAAACCAGCTCTGTTACAGAATAGAACTGGAACTCCCTTAAGCAAATTACTTCCATGCCTCCCAATGTTGGCTTTCTCTTGGAAAGCAGGACAGCAACAGCAGTTCTTCCATTACCTGTTGAAATGATTGAATGAGATCTTGGATTTCAGACAGTAGCACAGTGTCAAGTCCCAGAAACCACAAATGCTTGTTGTTTTATTGCCCATATTCATTGTAATTAAGAATGCTGTGTGCTGAATGCCCCGTGACACACTTCACACTTTGCATTAGTAGAAAAAACTGTATCCTGTGCATGTAAAAAAGAGACACACTAGCACGCCCAAGAAGATGCTTGCCCTCATCCAGAAGACATCTGAATCCCAGCTGCTGTTCTGCCAGTCTGACAATATCTCAGTCCTCTGTGAGACTCACTCAAAACAAGAAGATGCAAAGTGACAGAATAAAGTAATATATGCTTGTAACATCGTCTTCATTGATTGATGGTACTTTGTCCCTTGATGTAACAATTTTGCATATCAAGTGAAATATACTGTCATATTGATTTCTTTCTCTTGATCTGCAAGACCTAAAATGTTTCTTTCCTGGCCCTTTAAGAAAGCAAGTTGCCCCAGGTGTAGGATGCAGGGTGCATTGTATTTAAAGAATGTTTATTGAATGCCTGGCTAACCTGGAATGGCAGGAAAGTATTTGAGAAACATGCAACAGCTTGAGAAGTTCAGATGACCTCTGTAGTAAGGCTTTCTAGCTTGAAAAAAACATGGCTTTTCAGCTTTGCCGGCTAACGGGGGCCAGGGATTGGGGCTGTGACTCCAAGAATAATTCTCTTGTGACCTCTGTGTATCTTGCCACTTAGAGAAGGAAAAAACATTTGCCCTATATCAGTTTGCGAACAGCTGCAGGCCCAGTCTGCTTCACCTGAATTAAAGTGCAGCCGGGGCCTCTTCTCACAGTGACTAGTAACACAAGGTGAGAAACGGAGTATACAAGATGAGGAACAGACCTGCTTTCCACTCTCTCTCTCTGCCTTTCCTGATTTTCCCTCTGCCACGTTGGGAGGTGTCTGTCAAGAAAATGAGAATTTTCAGAGTAACCCTCTCTCAGTTGTTAACCCCACCAAGAGAAGAATGCTCTCCAGCGTTCTTGCTTTGTGTCTCATGATAAGTCTCTGTGGCCCACACTGTTCCACTCCCCTATGGCAGTCAGATATTTTAGAAATGCAATTAAAGTACAGTTATTTGGTTTTTTGATGTCATGATTTAATTAAATATCTCTATGTCTACTAATCTGCCTCTAGTAAGTTAAGCAGGTCATGCCTTTTGTATTATTTCACCAACTTGTGCCACTTAACTTTCAACGCATCCTAAATTTTGGTATGGATACAAGCACAAATTATGAATAATTTGGAAATATTTCTATAAAATCATGTTCTTATTGCTCTGTTAATACATTTTGATGCAAGCATTGTACTAAGTTATTACAGAGTACTGTGAATTCCTATGACCAGGTCACACTTACTGTTCCTGTCACCCAGACATAACTCAGTAGTTCTTGTAAAATAAACCAATTTTTCATGTGCACCTGCTCTCTGAGGGCAGTTACCTGATCAGATGTCTCTCTTTTATCTCCATTTTAATTTAAAGAATAAATATATGGCATGAAAGGCTGAACTTCAATAAGGTTTGATGCTGCGGTGAGTTAGGGAACAGGTTATAAACAGGACTGATAACTTTGACACAAAGCCTTTTTTCATGCACATTCTTCCCTGTTTTATAACCATCATTGTCTCCTTGTCTACTCATTTATTTTTAAAGTGTCTCATTTTCCCAACTCAGGACTGTCAGTCATTGCCCAGCAGAATGATTGATTTTTTATCTTCCATTTCAGTTGCTTATCATTTTCTCTTTTCATGAACTGGTTGATGACCATATTGTGCAGTTGTTTTTGTCTGTCTTAAGCTTGTTGCCTTCATTGAATTAGTAACCCTTCCATCATTTCATGGAGAACTGAGCCAATTTTTTCAGTTACCACGGAGATTTCCAACACCTGATATTTATAAGTCATGACATACTGCACATACAGATTGCTCCATAAGAATATTTAGAAATGATGTTTCCAGTGAGCAGAGAGAACCCACAATTCTATGAAACAGTGAGTTATTTGCTTTATTGGATGGAAGGTATTTTATGATTTAACTGGAAATTGTTTTAGATTTTGCTCAAATCTGTGCCATTTCCTGAATGTCTGAGCTTTCAGATTTCCTAGATAGTTGGGTCTGTGTGATGTAAGCCCAGAAGTTAACCCAGATTCGATGGAAGAGAATTTCTCAGCCATCTACAGGGAAGAGGAGATGTCTGCTGCTACTCAAACACCTTCTTAACATTCGAAAAGTTATCAGCAAATTCTTCAGAGTTTATTGACAATTATCGTGAATGGAATACAGTACTCACCAAATATGTAAAGTGACTTAGAAGAGAATTAAGGAATTAAATATAAAATAAAGTAGTTGATGGGCTCAGCTTCTGAATGAATCTGAATTAATTCTTGTGGCATTAAGCATTATATTTTCTAAAAAACAAAAACACAAGTTTTTATTATAATAATATTTGGTCCAATACTTGCCCTGCATGCATTAGGTCCTAGGTTTAATCCTAATGTCATAAAAATGAAATAAAATATTAGTAAGTGGGTGACTGTATCAGGAGAAAAATAGCTACAAGCAAAGGGTAAAGAAATGTCTTCAATCTTTTAAAACATTTTCCTACTGTTTTCTTTATCAATTAACAACCAGTGTTACTTACTTACTGACTCACCTCATGGTGATAAAATGTGGAAAAGGTTATATAATTTCTCTGATTTATGTAATTTCCCTGATACTCAGGAAAGGCTTTGTCTGTCCCATCTTCTGGGTTTTCACAGTAAATTTGGAAGTTCATAGCCCTTAAGTGTTTTAGTTAGACTAGAGTCCATGCTGGAGTCATAATGACAAAACTGGCTACA